TATGCAAAACCAAGAAATACGAAGACTTTTTACTTAGTGGCAGAGAAGACGAGCAGAATAGCTAAGTGCAGATTCGCGTGTCAAAGGATGTTTGTGGCTACCCAAAAAAGTATAGTATATGTGTTTGACGCAGCTTTGCTTACCATGTGCACACATGGGGCAAAGCGTCATCAGCCCGACAAAAAGAAAATATTGAAGATCTCTTACATTCTCGCAAGAAGGAGATCCATTCCACGCCGATATAAATAGAGGAAATTCATAGGTGATTAAATAATAGTCTTAGCTGTATTTATTTATTTATTTTTCATACGTAACATTATGATTCTAGTCGTTTTATGTCAGGCCGACTATGTCTTCCAACTGAGCAATGGTGAGAAGAAAATATTCAGGCTTTCTGTAATGGTACCAACATTCATACTTTGGCTTCCATCTTCAAAATCCGTTCAAGAACCATCATAAGATCGGTGAATAAGTTTAAAAAAGTGGAAAAAATAGAGATGAAAACTGAATCAGGAGGTCACAACAGCACGAGGGATCATCATTTCAACTTAGAGCTAAATACATTCTTATTGTTCAAAGTAGAGTACAATCAGTTGTGTGCCATGCGTGATACACGCGGAGGCGATCATGTATCTTTCGATACATGACTGACGAGGCAGATTTTTTTCCGCAGTAGGTTACCATTTCTTTCTGCGGTAGACCAGTTGCCATCCAAGGTAATAGAATCCGGTCTGTCCTGCTATTTACCAATAGAGGTGTGAGAGAAAAAGAGGATTCATACCTTTCCCAAGGGTATTAGCACGTAAGTGAATCTAATCGATTCGACTGGAATTCGAACTCAGCTCTCCGATTCCTCAATCCGAGCCGCTATCCATTACTCCACTGTGTCTTCAATAAGTTTATAAAATCCTCGAAGAATCCCAGTAAGGTAACTTTAATTTCTAAATCATTTAAGGTGATTTAAGATACGACAGTTGCCCTAAGGATCGATTTATTCTGTCGTAATTGCTAGCGAGATGTGCTAACCATTGCATATGTCCAAATCTTAGATGGAGCCCTAAAGTGGGGATAGAGAGGTTCGAACTCGCTATTCTGTCGTAATTGATCTAGCGAAACATGCTTACTGACCAGTACACCAAATCCAGATGCTGTGACAGGCACTTCTTAATTTCCTTTTTGGCTATCTTTCCTAAGCCCTGATCTGCCAACAAGCTGGTTAGGCAGGTGCTATTAGCCGCTCTTCTCGGTCGCTTTTGCCATTTCCTCTGTTCCTCATTATGTACCCTAAAAATGTCAACGGTCTCTTTCTGATTCTAAATACTGGGTGTAACAGCAAAAGTGTCCAAATCGTGTAACAACATGGCATAAGTGTCCAATCCACAAAATGTTTATTATCTAAAAAAAACCCAAAAACCACTAAACTCATTGAGTTTCTTTTTTCCGGATTTTCAGATAATACATGTTGCCATCTTGACAATATTTGTCGTAAGAATCACTGTAAAAAACCCTTTGAGTTATTCAGCTAGAAAGAGAACGGGTTAAAATGGTTTAAATGTTTTCTCAACTGAGCAATGGTGAGAGGAAAAAGATCATTGAGGCCTTCAGTAATGGTATCAACATTCATACTCTGGCTTCCATCATCAAAGTTCATTCAAAAAGCATCAAAAGAACTCTGAATAAGTTTTAAAAAGAAGTAACAGTAGAGAGGAAAACTGGATTAGGAAGTCATAACCTTATGAGGGATCCTCATTTCAACATAGAGCTAAATACATTCTTTTTGTTCAAAGTAGATTCCAATAGTCTTATAAAAATCTCGGTGAATTCCAGTAAGATATCTTTAATCATTTCTAAGTTACAACGATTGAAATCTTAATCTAAAAATTGAACAATTTTGCTGTTACACACGCTATGTTCTTTTTTTGTTTACATTTTCCTCAAAGTTTCGCCGTTGTTCTCATGTTCAGCCCCTGGTATTCTCAGTATCCTTCTGCAGAACCATATTTCACTGGCAACATCTGTGAGGAGATCGTCACAAGACGGTTATGTACCAAATGTCACTAGGTGTGATAAATTCTTCTTGCAATATGAGCACTGGTAAAAATGGTTGCTGAAGACATTAAGTTTATAAGTCCCAGAAATTCAACAATAGATGGCTTAGGACGGTGGATAAAGTGGATAAAAGATCCAGTGAGAGGACCCAAAGAGTTGTGAGTTCGATACCTGGTTAAGGCAGTGGAGTACTTGGAGAGGGGACTTAACAGGAAATAACTGACATCCATTAAACATGGCACGTGGAACTAGAACAGTCTACCCCAGCGAGAGAAATAAAGGGTTCAGTTCGACATTACAACCACGTGAAGAAGGCTGGAACGGCCGAAACATTGTGATAAATATGGCGACAAAGATGAGGAGAGCAGTCCGAATAATGTAAATAATGTACATAATACCTCATCTCAGAAATATAGACAGATACTAGAACATTTTCTGATTGTCTAGCATTCACTGTCATTAAAAAGGACTGATATTATATAACTTCCTGCTTTATTTCCAACGAATTTTTTCCTATTTTTTAAATAATTTATTTACAATTGGATGGCATCTTTCCCTATTCTAATGTTCCTTCATATATTTGTCGCCTTTTCCCACATGTTTAACTAGTTAGATTTTGGTATTTCCAATTCGTAGTTGGGGTGTTCATTTTGTTGGCAGCCATAAATTAAGTCTTCTTACAATTGATGATTAGTTATATATAACTATATATGTATATATATATATATAGCGGTGTAGAGAGAAACAACGCTGTATATATCAATATTCCTAATATTTACGTGCTGGTTAAATACCAGCACGTAAATATTTAAGTAAGTCAATCGTTAGTTTATTATAATGATTTTCCAAGCGTAGCTTAGATGTAGCACTGGGCGGAAAGTAGGGGTCACCCAGTGAGGATCGAACTCACTACTCAGTCGTAATCGATTTAACGAGACAAGCTTGCTAACCATTACACTGCCTCGAGGTGCCCATCTTTATTATAATGTTAACCTGTTTAGTAACACCTGTGTCAGCATGACCATGAACGGGAATTCACCGGAGGAAGTGTACAATTTCTTGTCTAAAGATGGTACCTGCAACTCGGAGATCTGCATACGAATTGCCGCAGCTATAGCAGCGATGCCCAAAATGACAAGAATATGAAAGAGCAAAATCAGCTTTCAAAAGAAGTACAGACTGTACAAATCTCTCGTAGTCTTCATTCTTCCCCTATATACCTTACTTTCACCCTAAACACTTTAGAAACATTTAGACCCTTTTTAAAACATTTTTGTAAAATAGTATTGTTGACGAAACACTTACCGTAAATTTTCTTTTATACCTACAATAACCGTTTTTAATTACGCATAGATCGATACAACCATTGAAAATACTGTATAAAATATAAACAAGATATAAAATGTAAAGTTTAAAACATTTTCTAAAAACAGAACTGTGATGATGCCCCTAGACTTAGCATATGACCCCAACCGTAGCCCCTAACAAAGACCAAAGCCCAAGCACTACGCACATTATTGCGTTGATTTTTCTACAACGAAGATGTACAATTCTATCATTTTTTTTACAATAAAAATGGACTGTTATATGTTTTACGTGACTTAAATAACAGGAAAATAATACAAGACTTTTTAAAATATATTATATTGAGAAATACGCGAATCGAGGCAGTTCTCAGCGAATAATTTGTACATATATTCTTCAGAAAAAATACGCGTATATTCGGAGTTTCCGCAAATAACAAGTACATATTTTCTAAAGAAAAATCCGCGAATGTGTGAAGCCGCGAATGCTGAAACGCGAATAGGCGGAGACGCACTGTACTTAATAGTTACTTAGAGCAACTAAGTTGTACAAGATCAATATTGCCCACGTTCTGTTGGCAGAACTTTACTGGTCATTAATAAACATCTATTTAAGCTTGTTTAATAAAACTTAATTGCTTGATTTAATAAAAAAAGGAATCAAGTACCCCAAATGCATGCGTTTATGTGGGCTGCTAGGTTGGCATCTCGGTCCCATCTTTTCACTGTCGAAAGAGTTAAATGCAACCGCCTCTTCTATCCCACCAGCTTTTTCTCTTACTTCTCGATAGTGTAAATCCCTTCCTCCTACTAGCTCCCCTAATAGATATAACCTTCAAATATTCAATGTAATGTCAATCGATATCTTCTGATTCCTTGATACTGAGCGTTGTCCTTCTTTTCCTTACCTCAAACACTCATCTTTACTCTTGCTCTCACTCTCTGCAACCCCTTCGGTGCTATTGCCATTCCCGCCTTGCTGGGGGTGAAAACCTTTGTAACATCCTCTTCTACTCCAACAGCTTATTTTCTGGCACTTACCAACGATGGAACTCCCTTCCTGTTACTTGCTTCTTTGATAGATATAATCTTCAAATATTCCAATGTGATGTCAGTCGACATCTGATGCTTTTATCCCGACCCCCGTCCTTCTCTAGATCCTTTCCTCAAACAACCCTCTTTATTCTTGCTCTTACTCTCTTGCATGCTAGTGCCACTCCCGCCTTGCTTGGGGTGAAATGCTTAAAAAAATAGTAAAAAATTAAAGTGCATAAGCTGCGCAATAGAAGGTCCAAATTCTTACAAAGTATTCCAGAGTAAATTCCAGACATATCTACTTTGGTGGCTAGCCATGATTAGACATCGGTAGACGCACACATTAATCATGGTTACCCTCTTCAGTTGCTATTTCCTCTGTCTTCAGACTAGATTTATATTTAACCTCTTTTGCACTCATATTTGTCGCATCACTCAAAATGAAGACTCTAAATCAATTTCCTTCTTTAAGAAAGTGAAAGGGACTTAAATGTTGCGACCGATTCGTGCCATTCTTATCACTACTTAGAATGTTTACCTTCTTTCTGTAAAGAAGCCGAGACATTATCGAAATAAGGTCGCAAATATTCGAGCATATTTTATCTATAAATTATGAATATCTGTTCGTTTTCTATCTATCTATCTATCTGTCTATCTATCTATCTATCTATCTATCTTGTTATTTTCAACTATCTATCTATTTATCTATCTATCTATCTATCTTGTTATTTTCAACTCTCTATCTATCTATCTATCTATCTATTTATCTATCTTGTTATTTTCAACTATCTATCTATCTTGCTATTCTCATCTCATTCTATCTTTATCTAAGTTTGTTATTATTTATCTATCTATCTATCTATCTATATCTATTTATCTTGTGCATATCTTTCTCAATCTTTTTATCTATTTCATTTTGTTCTTATATATCTATCTATTTATAAATCTCATTCAGTTCTTATCTATCTATCTATCTTGGTATTCTCATCTATCTATCTATCTATCTATCTTGCCATTCTCATCTATTTATCTATCTATCACTGCCTGAGGTTTTTCTTGCGACAAATCTCTTTCCGTATAAGTCACTTCTAATTTTATGTAGGAGCAACGTGGATCTATCTTGGTATTCTCATCTATCTATCTATCTATCTATCTATCTATCTATCTATCTATCTATTCTCATTTCATTCTGTCTTTATCTAAATTTGTTATTATCTTTTTTCTCTCTACGTATATCCTATATCTCTACGTATATCTCATTCTCTTTCTATCTATCTATCTATCTATCTATCTATCTATCTATCTATCTATCTATCTATCTATGTTCATATTTATCTCAATAACATTGAATCACGCGTTAAATATTCCGTCTATATTATCTCTTTAAAACACTTTTTTTTGTTCACAAACATAGTGTCCATTTACATTGATGGCAGATATTACTGGCAGTTCTGTTTCTCGCACCAAATGTTTGCGCCCAATATTTTTGTGTGGTGATATTTTTGGTAGTCGCCATTTTCTGACAAATTGTCGTCGTAGAATTTGTTTTTTCCTGTTATGCCGATATATTTTTAGAACTGTAAAGTCTTTAACGCTTGTAATTACATCGGAGTACGATTTTCCTCTGAGCATGGAGGTGTTCTTCTTGGTGTTAGACATATAATAGAGAGCAAGAAAAGAAGCTGTGGAGGGTAATGATCAACTACATCATGAACGGGGACAAAACATAGTAAAAGAATTGAATAGTTTTAAAAGAAATGAACATTTCTTTTAAAATTATTCTATTGTTCATTAGGCATCATCTCCGTCCATGGTGTGGATGACCATGGCCCTTCACAGTTTCTTTTCTTGCTTTCACCAATCATTTATTTCTAACCCTGCCATGCGTGATACACGTTTAGACGATCATGTATCTTTCGATATATGACTGACGAGGCGGATTGTTTTTCCCGCAGTAGGTTGCCATTTCTTTCTGCGGTAGACCAGTTGCAATCCAAGGCTATAGAACCCAGTCTGTACTGCTATTTATCCAAAGCTGGGGGAGAAGAAGAGAAGCCATCCCTTTCTCAAGGGTATTAGCACGTAAGTGAATGCAGTGGATTCGACTGGAATTCGAACTCGGCTCTCCGGCACCTCAATACGAGCCGCTCTCCATTACTCCACCGTGTCTCCCCAATACTTTCACCAATACTTTTTCTATTTATAATCCTTGTCCCTTCATCTACTTATGAAGGCAAACTTATCAAGAAAGTGAATGGATGTTTTTTTTTCTATCTATTCCTTACTCTTTGATATATACGATGAGTGTTGAATTCGCCGGGTCTTTTTTCCTTATCACGTATCCGAAACACTTTAATGGACGTTATCATCAACTTCTTCTTTGTTGCTACTATTCTTCTTAGAATCTTTTCGTGTCTCAATTACTGTGTCCATGATATACACAACAATTGTCGATAGAAGCCCATCGCGGTTAGGCCATTCTTTTCATTTCTGCTAAAATGACCCAACTTTCAAGGCTTTTTAGAAATATCACCAAAGAAAACCAGAACTCTTTTCAACTACTTACATTATTTACATTATTCGGACTGTTATCCACATCTTCATTATCATATTAACAACTTTTCAACAAGATTTTATTGCTGGTAATATTTTTTTTCCAAAAATGAATTGTGGTAATATTATTTTTCAAAAATGTATTGCTGGTAAATTTTTCCAAAAAAATGTATTATTGGTAGTAAAACCTATTTTTATACCATTAAACACTTTTTTTTTTAATCTTTGACTCCTTTTGTGGTGGTGGGGGGTTACTATTTGATCATAGCTGGGAACCAGACAGGTGCTACCACGTCGGGTCATGGTTGACCTGAGAACACCAACAATTAAGAGGTGGTTCCATGTTTTTCAAAACTTCCTGATCAAAGGCTTTGCTGTCAGATGTAGTTTATCGTCTTACCCAGGACACGGATGTAGTCCATCGTCTTAACCAGGACGCGGATAGTTTATCATCAAGTCGAAGAAGCTCAGATGCCTAGCTGTTGAACGTAGTTTATCATCTTATCCAGGACGCCGGATGTAGTTTATCGTCTTTCCCAGGACGCGGACTAGTTTGTGGGCTAACTATTTGCCCATAGCCCGGACCCTAACATGCACCACCCAAGTTAGGGTGGACCTGGGAACAGCAGTAATTAAGACGTAGTTCCACGCTCCTCAAAGCCTCTTGATCAGAGGCCTTGCTGTCGGATGTAGTTTACCATCATACCCAGGACGGGAAATGATTGGTGATCATTCTTGTCCGTATTCTAACGCATGCTGATCGCTTTAGACATGTCTTCGCGGCCATTTTCAGTACACCGAGAATTAAAATTATAATCAAACGTCTTCAAATTCTACCGCTTTGTGGCCCGGCTTTGTCATTGATCAATTTCCTTTCTCCCTTGTGACTGGATAGGTCGGCTAAATCTTTTGTCTGCATATTTTCTTTTCATTGACTGCATTAATTGCATTCTCGTATACTGGCTTAAATCGCAAAGTTTCAAAGAAGATTTATTATTGACTGATTAGTTCTTCATCATCTTCTCAGTCTATTGCGGTCAACTGGTCTTCTGTCAGCCATGATACTCGGACCCTGTTGAAAGGGGCTTTCAGTTCACAGTTGCCTTTGTAGGGTAGTCACTCTATTAAAGCTAAAGAATCCAGTTTTCCTCATTATTTAACCTGTAAATGCAGGTCGAAGAAATATATGCTTTTCCAAAGAATATTAACGTGAAGTGGATGTTAACATCAACCAGTAGTACAAGAATGTATTCTTCACGCCGATAGACATTACGTCACCCATAAACCCAAGATATTATTTAAACAAACTTCCAGTCTGTATTTACTTTAGTTATTTGAATGGTAGAACTCAAATACTTTGCATTGTTCTGATTGAAGAACTATTCCCATCCACTCAAGTTAGTTCTAAATTATTATCTTTATGACTATTGTTATTTATATTTATTATGAATAAAAAAAAAGTCCAAGTTACAGAATGATGCTGAGAATACCATGAACTGAACATGTGAGAATTGGTAAAGTTTTAAAGAAAAATGGAAACAAAAAAGTCATTTATTTTTAAGCATATCACTCCAAGCAAAGCGGAAGAACCACCGGCACGCAAATAGTTACAGAATGAGAGAGCAAGAATTAATAGGGGTGTTTGAAGGATAAAGAGAAAAACAGGGATCAGGATCAAGGCATCAAAAGATGTCGATTACATTACATTTAAATATTTGAAGATTATAGTTATCAAGGAAGCAAGTAAGAAGAAGGAAGTTCCCCTGTCGGGAAGTGTTAGAGAAGAAGCTGTTAGAGTAGACGAGGCTATTACATTAACTGTTTCAACAGTAAAAGGGTGGGACCGATATGCCAACCAAGTAGCACGCTTAAATTCATGCAGTCGTGGTATCAGTGAAAGTAGCTCGTCAGCAGCAGCTGCCATAAAAAAAAATTAGTAGAAAAGACAGAGGAAAGCCACAGCAGGTTTGTGAGAAAGTGACTGTAGACGAGATGCCAGATCATGACCTATCACATTGCAGATCCGAGGTGAACATCGGGGTGCACCAGACCATATAGGGCAACAGTATACAATGCAAGGACGAATGGTAGATTTTTAGATTTGAAGGATGGACTCAGGCGAGAAAAACCTTCTGGCCCGACACAGAGAACCAACTTTCCTTGCAAAGAACCAACTACTTATAATTAGAAACAGACAGTTGACATTTATAGTGAGGAGGGAGGGCGTGTAAAAGTCAACACTCACGTGACAATGAAGAACAAAGGCCGGCAGCTTAAATGAATGGATGGCAGAACGGGGAATTGTGGAGAGAGCTAAAAAATCTCATAGCTAAGACCTACAAAGGATAGGAAGTTGTAGAAAGCTATGATTACGCACGACCTGGAGGGACATATCACATAGCAGAAGAAGAATTTATTTTCTTGTTTACATAAAACCTCTGGTGGCTATCCATGTATAGGGAATAACAGCGTGTCTTCTCCAGCACCTTACTCAGTATCCACACATATATCAACAATATCCTTTTCTGGACAATTTTATTTTGTTAGCCGGTGTTGTTACTTGTTACGAGAATATTAGAATCCGGCATATTAAAACCAGTAAACTTTTGAGATACATTTTCTGGGCTATGATGAATTGGGTGCATTAAGGGTTGCGTAAAACATGTGTTTTGGATAGAATAAATTTTTGAGTAACAAATGGATAACAAGAAGTTTTATTTAATTTAATCATGTTAAGAAAATAATACTAAGCTGTTAAGTGACATCTGTCCTTCTTTACGGCGATTGGACGATTTCCTCAAAGATTGATGAAGGGACTTGAGGTAACAGAGATGTGGTTCTACAGGAGGATGCTAATACCGGCGACCCCCCCTGTGAAATTGAAGCCTTATAAGAGACCCGTAGTGGAAGAGGCGGTAGAAGAGATGGAAGCTGGGATGATAGAAATATCAATTTCCTCTTGGAGCTTTCCAATAGTGATAGTAGACAAGAAAGATGGCGGGCACCGTTTTTGTGTGGATTTTAAGAAACTGAATTCCATTTCTAAGCCTTTGGCGGTGCCATTGCCACTAATTGATGACATATTGGCATTATTAGGGAAGGCGAAGTCCGGGTATTGGCAGGCAGCCCTTGATGAGGCTGACAAGTAAAAAGCTGCATTTGCCTGTCACCTGGGACTGTTTGAGTTCAGGGCGATGCCATTCGGTTTGGCGTATGCCCCGGGGATCTTCCAAAATATGTCATTAGTGTTAGGGGGATGCGAGAGTTTTGCCATGGCATATTTAGACGATATTCTGAGCAACGATGAGGTCTTAGAGAGGTTGAAAACAAGGAGGAGCCTTATGCTTAACATCAGGAAGAAGCAGCTGAAGTTTCTTTTGACTGACACATCATCACGGTTCGAATATAGGGAAAGAGAGACAAGGGAAAACAACGCGTTACATGCCTGGCGAGCTTAGGCAAGTGGATGACAGAAAATATTCGTGTTCTTGCGCTTTACCCTGTTACATGCTGATGCAGAGTCATCTACAACCAAAATGGCATTATTTTCACGCTTAAAACCATCGTTTGAAAGGTAATCACAGACAGTTAATATATTTCTATTCATGATAGCCCAAATAGGAGACCTGACTAGTTCAAATCAATAACAAACCAGCCTTTTTGGTGCATTTGAAAAAATCAACAGGAAATGAAAAATATCTTTCTACTTCCGTTTCCGATTTCAGATTCCCTCTCGTTTCTTAATTTTCTTTATTCAATTGATTATTCAATCGATATTTGAACAATGATT